CAATACCGCTCATAACTTTTGCAAAAAACCTTATTTCACAAATCTGTCGCAAGCGTCGTATCGTCATAATTTCTTTCAAAATAGATTTTTTCTAAAATCGAAAGCGGTGTTACACTCAGCTCGTTCAAACAAATTTTAAGGTATGCCACACGTAGAAGTCTGTAGATACGGTAGGAAGTCAACGCCGCATATTCGCCTGAAACTTTACAGAGGGGTGGTCCAATGACACACTCATGCAAAGTTTCAGACGGGTTCGATGTTGACTTCTACCGTATTCCGCACGCCCCAGTTATTACTGTAGCGTGGCATACCGTAGGAATCGTGTGGACGAACTGAGTCTAACACAGCTTTTTCTAAAATATGTGAGAGATATTATGGCGATACGACGCTTACGACGGTTTATGTGAAATTAAGTTTTTTTCGCAAAAGTTATGAACGGAATTGTATTTTTCATCACCTTCGGACAATCGTATTTCTGAACGAGGTACTCCTCGTTCACAGGGCAATCGCTGCATTCTGCATCCTTCCCAGGAGGCCCAGGAGGTCCTGCCATAGGTATTCGTTAGAAAAGGCTGTTATGTACATTTATGACAAACCTTGTGGCCCAGGTAGCCCAGGAATACCCATCAAACCCGGCCGTCCGGGTGCACCAGGCGATCCAGGTTTTCTGCAAGGAAACAGAAGTATTGGTGGACTTTTTTTGCAGCAGTGTAAAGCGCTGACCCTGGAGGTCCACGAGGTCCAGGAGGACCAGGTGGTCCACGATCTGAACTTTCCAAACCAGTACAGTATTGATGTATGTCCAGGCACTTCTGCATAAGCTCTCCAATCTGAAGTGATGAATAGTTGTTATTATTGGAATCCCAGTTTTGTTAGATGCCTCCTTCATTCTACTATACTCTCTGAAATTTTGCTTTTCTTTGGTCTTCTTTTCGTCTTTTTCATCGATTGCACGACTAAGCTTTAACTCACTCTCTATGTGAAATCCAAAGAAGCCGGAAATCCAAGCACATTCAATAATGAGGTTAATCAAAATGACTTTCCTATGCTTTCCTTTCGTAGTGATCAGTGAATAT